AAAGGGGGGGAGGGAAGAAGAAAAATATATGACAAACATCCAGTCGTTTTAATTTCTATGTGTAAAACTTAATAGATTTCTTAAAGATCTTGAAATTATGCTGAGGAAAAGCACTGCAATATGATGAGGGACCCCCAATTTTACTGCTGGACTATTTTCAAGAAAAACATGTTTGGATATATTTAAACTGTCGCAAGGAGACACAGCTCTGAACCCCGCTGCACTGTGATGAGTCTTTTTATTTACATATAATTGTCAGTTTAACAAGCATAAAACATTGGGACACTTTCACAAGATTTTAACAGACCAATTGGGGCCGCGAGTTTGACAATAAGAGCCCAAAGTTTGCAAAATAGCTCTGCTTGCACTTTCTGTGAAGCAGAAAGCTCAGTCCAACGCTGCCAATAAACGCTATTTTAATGCGTTTATCCTGTTGACTTCATTTAATATTTTTTTGCAACACACAGGCAGTAGTATCGCATTTCACGTTTTACACGACTCTTCCCCCCTCTTTTTCCGTTTTTTCAAAACTTTTGTGGAACCAACGAGGTTCGGAAAAACTGCACAATTCTTGCACTTACTCGTTCAGTTGCGAAACTTTTCTGTCCTCTCCTCACAGACTTTCTTCTCGCTCGTGTACAGATGCTAGTTGCAGACGGAGACTCTTAGCTTCTTTACTTTAAACTCCAAAACTACCCTGCGGACTTTTCTTTCTTCCCTCGTCTTCTCTTTTTGTCCTGCGTGCGCTTGGCAGGGGCAGCCCAGCACTGAACTAGCGCCCGGTCTTTGCCTACATACCTAAAGCCTGAACACAAAAGAACAGCGACTCGTGAAACTCCTACATTTTTATCACGGTAAAGACAGTAATTAAGAGTTTCTCGGGTAAAGAAGATTTGAAGTGTGAAGCTCCAGATGCCCTTTCCCTGTTCCTGACTCCTCCCTTTCGGAGAGCAGACACACTACCTCCCCTCTTTTTCCTTCTGCCCCCTTTTCCCTCTTTCTCTCCTTGCCTTATACCAGCGCTCCTTCCTGAGACGGTGCAGTCATGTTTGATGAGGGTAAAACGAAATGGTCATTTTAAAACAGGTTACAGTGTGCTTGTTTATGTTAATACGTAAGTAACTTGTTACTTATAGGGTTTTTTTTTTTTTTTGGTACAAAAAATTTGTTACTTATAGGGTTTTTTTTTTTTTTGGTACATAAAATGGGTAACACTGACAGAATGAAAAGTGATACAAAGCAAACATTCAAAACACACCATAAGAACAGTCTTTGGATGCATCACTTAATATAATCAAATTCATTCTCTAAAGTTTGTCAATGCATTATTAAGTCATTTAAATATGGACGTGAACTTTGGGACAACAAGAACTTTGGGTGAAGAAAACTACTCAATAAAAATGGGTAGAAATTTTTTTTTAAGATGGTTCTGAAACTACCAAGCACAAATTCAAATAAAAAATATCCACTGATTAAAAATAAAACTTAAAATGTTAATTTAACTACATGACTAAAACATTAAGTAATTAATTTAAGATGTTGGGATGTAATTTATTAGGCAAAAAGAAATCCTGTTATGCACATTTATTTTCTAAAGATTCATAATGAATATACGAGATGATTATACCAAGACGTGAGAGAATCATTTTATAAAGTCGAAAATGTTCACCATTGATGTTTTGAATAATGTTTAAATAATGTGAGACTCAATTTCCACCGTTAAACAAACTTTTATTTCAAACTAACCGCTGTACCTGAAAATATAAAATAAATCACTTGTTGCACAGGACAGAATGTTCTACATCAGTGGTTCCCAGACTTTTTAGAGTGGAGTACCCCCTGAGGCATTTCTGCGTACCTCCTCTCTTCCACTTAGACTGCACCTTTTCCATTAAAGAACAATATTTGCCCCCTAAATTGACTTTCCAATGCACAAAATGTTCACCATTAATGTTTTGAATAATGTTTAAATAATGTGAGACTCAATTTCCACTGTTAAACAAACTTTTATTTCAAACTAACCGCTGTACCTGAAAATATAAAATAAATCACTTGTTGCACAGGACAGAATGTTCTACAGCAGTGGTTCCCAGACTTTTTCGAGTGGAGTACCCCCTCTCTTCCACTTAGACTGCACCTTTTCCATTAAAGGGCAATATTTGCCCCCTAAATTGACTTTCCAATGCATTTTTTATCTTTGTAAATAGAATATTAATGTTTAAAAAAAAATGTTCAATAGATTAATATGCAATGATGATAAAAAAAGTGAAAAGCGATTCTTTTAAATACTAAAACTGCCAGTAGGTGGCGGTAAGTCACTGTCTTAATGCGTGAGTCATCGAG